CCTTCTTATTCACCAAACAAAGAGAATGTGCACCGCAAACTTGATAGTGACTAACCATGAAGGGCAACAGTTCCCCGGTTGCCGCTTGAAAGGGCCAAGTGATGATTTACCCATGAATCAGCTTTCCTTTGACCGTGTTCTATGTGATGTTCCGTGCAGTGGTGATGGTACACTGCGCAAGGCTCCAGACATCTGGCGGAAATGGTGTTTTCACCTTTGCCTTTTCTCCTATTCATCTTTTACTGAGGCATTTACTGTTAAGATTCTAATTCCTTTTGGTATATGCGCAGGAATTCTGGAATGGGCAATGGACTCCATAGCCTACAGGTTATCCTTGCTATGAGGGGTATGCTGCTTTTCTTCTATTTTCCATGAAATAAGCTCGTAAAATGATCAATCGTCTTGAAACATCTACGCTTGTTCTTGTCCAGGTTTATCGCTGTTGAAAGTTGGTGGGAAAATGATATACTCAACCTGCTCAATGAACCCGGTTGAGGATGAAGCTGTTGTTGCTGAGGTAATGTCAAGCATCATCTTCACCTTTTGATTAGGTAGCTGCTATTGCTGTAGCTGAGTAAAAGCTCTTACTTGAGTTCAGATTCTAAGGAGGTGTGGAGACTCTGTTGAACTTTTAGATGTTTCTGATAAGCTTCCTGAACTTATACGAAGGCCAGGTCTTAAGACATGGAAGGTCAGTTTCTAATACAATTCAACCTAGTGAACAAACCCTCCTCTATAAAAATCTAATGGGATTACTCACGTATCTTCCCTCGCCTCTGTTGGGTCCAGGTTCGTGATAAAGGTGGGTGGTTCACTTCTTACAAAAATGTTCCGCAAAACCGAAGAGGTGGGGTTCTTGTGAGCATGTTTCCTTCTGGGAAAAATCTCACCGAAACAACGCAGGAGAATGAGAATGGTAGTGTTAATGGCAGTCAAGATGAGTGCACAGAAACAGAGAATTCTGTGGTGGATGCTATTCCTGATGAACCTGTTGTTGAAGTCTCTGATCTTCCACTTGAACGTTGCATGAGGATAGTGCCTCATGATCAGAACACTGGAGCCTTTTTCATTGCGGTCCTTCACAAAGTCTCACCCTTGCCAGGTGAATTTTGTTATTTTTATTTTGTGTGAAGAGCATGTTTCCTGAATGATTGATAATCACCTATGGTTTAGTAGTTCTTATCGTTAGTTTTCTCACAGAATTTCAGGAGAAACCAAATCCAAGAAAGCACTCATCTAAGAAAAATGCTGACTCTACAGAAAAGTCTCCGGCTGAAGCTGTTGTCGCCGTTGATGTTGAACCAGTAGAGAGTCCATTGGAAACAGTTATAAAAGCAGATGCAAACAATGAGAAAGCTGATAGTTTGGAGCCTAAGAAGAAAAATACAGATACAGAAACCATCACGGCAGAGAAAGAAGCCAATCCAAGTCACGCGGGAGACAAGAGAAAAGTACCAATGCAAGGGAAGTGGAAAGGCTTTGACCCTATTGTGTTCCTCAAAGAAGAGACGTTAATCGATAGCATCAAGGAGTTTTACGGTATCAGAGATGAATCATTCCCATTGTATGGTCATCTGGTGACAAGAAACACCGACACAAGCAGCGTGAAGAGGATTTACTATGTTTCAAAATCGGTCAAAGAAGTTCTTCAGCTGAATTTTGCAGTCGGACAGCAGCTTAAGATTGCTTCCGTTGGCCTCAAGATGTTTGTAAGTAACAAAATTTATTATGTTTTCTCATTTCTTGTAACGTTTGCTTAAAAACTTGGTTGTAACCGCAGGAGAGACAATCTGCAAAAGAAGGTTCAAGCAAGCCATGCTCATTCCGTATATCAGCCGAGGGACTGCCTGTGATCCTTCCATACATCACTAAACAAGTTCTCTACACTCCAATGGCAGACTTCAAACATCTTCTGGAACAAAAATCGATCAGGTTTCCCGATTTTGTCAATGCACAGTTGAGTCAGAAAGCAACTGACCTTGTCCTGGGATGCTGTGTGGTGATTCTCAGCGACGGTGTGTATTGCTTTGTTTAATGTTAGATGCTTTTGTCCACGTAGGATTGTGGGTTTCTTATCTTAACAGCTTTGCTCTGGTATCTCAGGTGAAGAAGCGGTGAAAGTGGATGCAACGACAATAGCCATCAGTTGCTGGAGAGGGAATAATAGTTTGGCTGTTATGATCACTCCTGCGGATTGCCAAGAGCTGCTGGAGAGACTTGCTGAGAAGACACCCAAAACTGAAGGTGGTTCCGTTGATGGGAACAATGGCGATTCAGGAGCTATGGAGACAGCTTAAGGGGGCCTTCTGTCATCACAACCATAGCTTTAAATTGTGTTGCGCTTTTTTCTTTATTATTCACTTGTTACCTCCAAATTGCTTTTCATATAAAGAAGCATCATATGACCATTATGACTTTGGACAGATGGACAGAGACAAATGAAACCTTTTGTTCGAAACCTCTTTAGAGTTCAGATACCATGGCTTATTAGTTAAACGAATGTTTACATTCCAAATTGAGAAACAGTGCATACAAAAATTCGCTCCTAGTATAATTATTAATCTACTCAACGCAGAAAAACAATAACAATGTCACATGATCGGAGCAGTCACATGATCGGAGCAGCCACATTGGTAGTATAGTGGCTAAAAGAGGTGAGAAGACTGCACAATGGTTAGCAAATTAACTCTCGCTATTTATACTGAGAGGATTAAAAAGTGTAATTATAAGGTTTGAATTAGTGTTAGAAAATAGTAGTTACGAAATCAGGAAAAAAAAAGTGGCCTATACAGGGATCGAACCTGTGACCTTCGCGTTATTAGCACGACGCTCTAACCAACTGAGCTAATAGGCCAACTTGGTATGGTTATATTGAAACACAATATATTGATAACGAGCTTATTTGCTCGAAAGATTTGTTCCATCGTCTTCTTGAGACTAATTCCCCTCTTAAAATCTGGGCGCAGAATCTTTCTCTCTTTGACGACAAACAAGTTTCAGTGTCTGGGGATACATATCTCTATTAGCTTTGGTCTGTTTTCGATAATTTTGCTTGTTTTTTTGTGTGTGATGGATTAGTGTTCTTGTGCATTAGGCTTTGTAAGAACTGAAGAAAACACAATTCAGTGGAGTGTGTAGTTCAAGGAATCATCGAAACACAGGTCTCGCTTCCTGTACATTATCAACTGTTCCAATGTCCATAAAGTTTTAACCTTTAGTTCATATATATATTTAGATATTGATGTTTCTTGGTCCATTTTTTCAGCATGTTGAAGCGCTTGAGATCCTTCTTCAAGGTCTTTGTGGTGTTCAACGTGAACGCTTGACAGTTCATGAGCTAACCTTGAAAAGCATCCCCAACCTTGGTACATTCCTTTGACAAATTTCATAATATTTATCAATCAATATGATACTAGGTGATTTTCCCGTGCTCATGCACGGGTATAAATATTTATTAATTAAATATACTATAATAATTTATTACTATTTACTTTTAATTTTAAATTAATTTATAATTTGCATACATGATTTATATTAATAATATTATTTTACTTTAATTAGACATATTATTTTAGAAATATTATATCTAGTCAATTTTATTATTTTATAGTCGATTTTACTGTTATTATTTGGGTATATTAGATTACATTATTTTATCTGAATTCAACTATAATATTTTTTATTCTAAATATATTAAATTTTGATTAATTCTAGTATTTACTTTTAGGTTGTTTGTTGTCTCAGATGTCAATATATTTTAGAAAAGTTATTTATAACTTAAGATATATTATGCTTATAATGAAATATAAAATAATTTTGATTTCAAATTACATCAATCGATATAAAGATAATCTTTGAAGTCTC